GCTATGAAGATTAATAATGATGCTCTATTGTATCATTTTATAGAAAGGAGTAGAATAAAAGGATGCCAAATAGACCTTTAAAAAATCTAAATATAAGCAGTCACTAACTCTAACAACTTCACAAATCTATCTCTATACTTTCATCAAACCTAATCTCCATGTTTCTGACATTTGTCCCAATAGTTCAAATGAGTAAAAATTGAACTTTCCTTCTCCTGTAAGCTTCTTTCCCCTTTTCCCTTTGGAGTTACAGTGAATAAATAAAATCGTTAAGCCCACAAATAGAGGATAACAGTTGATTGTGTTGTCTTTCTACATTCAAATATGTATACTATATCTGAAGATGTGGTTTTTCTTCTGGAGAAAAATACTGAGCTCAGCTTTGTAGTTCCATCATAATGGATCTTCACCAGCTTTTATCTTCATCATTATGACATTTTGCCTTTCCTGCCCAATCCCAAATGTTGAGAAGCCGCTTGGATTCATATTTCTGTCTTTTCTCTCTGTTTTTTTTTATTTATTTTTATATATATATATCTATCTCCACTTGTTCAAAGCAGCATAGAGTTCAAAATACTGGCAACAATAGCAGATATCTTCAAAACTGACACTAGGACAAAAAAACCTGACACTTGTTATCGAGCCTGGCAGTTGTGATATGTGCATTACTTGTGGTGTCTGGAAAAAATTAATGTTATGGTAGACATTGTATGTTTGGTGGAAATGATGATGTCAGATTTGTGGCAACTTAAGAGATATAATGAGATGTAAAACTGTTTCAGTTTGTACTGCAGAAGTGCCACTTACTTATTTACACTTAAGTGTCTGGGAGCCAGTGAAAGAATTAAAAGAAGATTAAATGAAAGAAGACAATGTAAATTGAAAAGGCATGGTCCTGAGGGCAAAAAGGAACATCACTTAGATAGCGTAGCTTACTGGTATCATTCTTGTAGCTATGTGTTGTATAAGAGATCAAAATGGAAGAAAACTATATTTAAGTAAAGACAAGAAGGAAGTTTTGCTTTTTCAGGCTTAATTGATTCTCTCCAAAATTCCAGCTGCCTGTCTGCAGATTTGGGGAGGATTTTTGGTTTCTTTTTTGAGGATTTTTTTTATTAGTATTGTTCTGTAGTTGTCCTAGATGAAATTGCCTTTACAAATTAAGTTAATTTATAAATATTACTCAGATGGTCAGGGGAAAAAAACATTTTTCATGTAGTTCTGTTCAATTTTTCTCCAAAATGAGATAAGCACATGAGACAGACTGTCAATATTAACCATTACAATAGGAAGTATGAGACAATTCTCATTATTTTAACTGTTATATACTCACTGACCTCTTCTTTACCCCAGAAATGTGAATTTCTGATATGTTAATGAACTAATCTGATGCTGCTAAATTCTTAGCAAGTTGGCGGTGGTATGATAAGGGTTCTGAGTAGATGCTGAATCCCAAATTAACTCTCAGATTATCTCCTGATAAACCAGAAAAGATGGCAGTCTTGACTGTACTGCCAAAATTGTCCTGGAAGTGACAGCCAGCATCTGTTTCCTTTTTTCCTGGATTTTTTTTCAAGTGCATGCATGATATACATTAGTATATGCTCTCAAAATTTAGGAAATCATGAAGCCTTCTCTATATAGACAGTAAATGTTTGCCTGCTGTAAAATGAGCTGTAGAGCACCACTATCAGTATAGGCACCCGGTGTCAGCTGGTGTCCTCTACAGAGCAACAAATCACATTTAAATGCAATGAATGTTCAGCTACTATATGAACTAGCTTAATATGTGTCGAAAAAAGTTGTGTCATGCCTATGAGTTTTCAGTCCAAGTAACATCTGAGATTCTATTCAGTTGGCAGTAAAATAAAATATTATAGTAGGCTTAAAGAATACAAGTGATCTAGGTTTGTTTCTTTTATTTGTTTGCTTCTTTTAATTAATAAATGCACCAACCAAGTTGAGGTAATTCTGCATCAAAGATGTATGTGAAAACAGTTGTTGAAATTGCAAGGAAATATTCTATAGGAAAAGAAAATAAAATGTGATGTCATAGGACAAAAAGTCTCCGCAAGAATCAGTTATATTCTGCATTATGAAAAATAAAAACAAACCAGAAATATATCAGGCTGAATTTAGTTGTAGTAAAGTTAGAGAAGTGCCTTAGTCTGGAGAAAATCTTTCTGGGTCCACAAACTCATTTTTAGCCATGAGTTAGCTGCTACGATTCTCAAGGATAAAAGAGTTTATTATGTATTCTCACTGCCAGATCAGTAGTTGAAAAAAACGTGACATCCTGAGACACCTGACCTTTCTTGACAAGTAGGTCGACATGCCTTTAAACCAAGATTTAGAGCAGTTTGGAGCCTTCTAAGCTACAAAAAGCAGCAGATCATCACAAATTAATTGATCCCTTTGATTTCTCACTTTTCATTTCTATCTCAGCACTGGAACACAATTAAGATTTACAAAACGTGTCACCTTTCAGAATCAAGTGTAATTAGCAAGTTCCTTTCACTTCAGTTCAGCTTGTGAAGTACTTCCCAAGAAAAAAGTTTGTGTCTTGAAATCAGTTAACTTTTTGGCTATATCCAGATAGTGAAATAGCTGACTTATAACTATTGATAAACCTCCCCCCCCCCCCCAATCCTTTTTTCTTATCACTCTGTTGAAAAATTTGTCTTGCTTGTTTAGGTGAGCTGCTGCTTCACAGAACCTTTCTACTCATTTTCTTTAACAGGATGTGCAAACATGTAGGTTTTACTACCCATACTACTGAGGACATCTGTATTACATATATTTTTCAGGGGTTTTCAGTTTAAACTGGGTCTTATCTGGTCATGTATACTGAATGCTCATTTGCGGCTGGAATCCATTAGATAGCTTCTTTGATTTTCTTTACCCCAGATTAATCCATGGGACAAACTGTGGAATATCACAGATCTTTGTAGAAGTTTGTGAGAGATGTAATGATTCTGTTGTTTATTTTCTGTCCTCCCTCTGTTTTGTTGTCTTTGAGTTGAGAATACATATACAAGAAGTTTATATAAAAAATAATGTCTCAATAGAAATTATATAAATTACAAGTATAATATAAAATACAGCACTGTTTATTTAGTTTATTAGCTTAAAAATATTTCAAGTTATCATCAGCTGGTGTATTAAAATTTCTGTTCATTAATTTGTCTATTGGTTTTGATGCAGTAAAGGGGTTTGGCTTTGCTTTAGCAAGTGATCAAGTTGAAGACTCATAGTTGAATTTAAATGGTGGTTCATAAATCTGAAGAAACAGCTGATGCAAAATCCTCTCCAATGGAAATCTCATTCACAGACCTAAATTACAGCCCTGCTAGCTGTGAGAGATTCTATCTCACAGAAAATTGTTGATTTAATGTGTTTTTTGCTTTATGTTGTGATTTTTTTTTTTTTAAATCAAGCAGTAAGTAACAGTGAATCAAGTCACTTGTAAATTAGTGGTCAGCAAAAGTATTTGAAGAAAGGTTATAAGATTTTTACTTATCCAGAATTGTATGGTTATCTTGGTTGACTAAATACACACTTGTGATACTCAACTGAGGTAATAAATAAACAAACGAAGAAGTAAATGTTCCTCAGTGGTTAAAAAATCAATAGAGCAATTAGTGAATTAGGAGTCTCTGGAGTGTATTTCTATATATTTTCTATATAATTCTATAAAAAAGTCTATTTCTAATTTAATCTTTTGTAGCCATCTATTTTTTTTATTAATGGTATGAATACAAATGTCAGCTGTTTGTGAATTAGGATCTTTACTTCTAAAGTTCATAATTGCTAGAGGTGAACAAACCACCAGAAGTGAATAAACTACTGCACCTAATTAGTCATTGCTTATCATCTGAGCCAAAGTAAAGATCATATATATGTTCTCAAGTTGCTCTACTTGCACATAAAATATAGTAGCTTAAAGCACTGTAAAATCATGAAGCCAATTAAAAGTGACATATTTTACTTTACTATTGCAGTAAGCTAAGAGAGCAAAAGCAAACAATTACAACTTTGGCTGATAAGCAGTAACTTGTTATTCTTCAGTATTATTTTTTTTCTTGGACAAAATAATTAACTTTATACAAATGGCTAAGTATTTTCTCCTGGTTTCCAAGTCCTCCAGTTGTGATTCTTGTGCCTTTTATCAATGTGTTTATATATTATCTTTTCAAATTTAGCCAGAAATGTGACCATCTTTTATGGAAGCATGTGGTACACTATTTATAGCTGTACCACAGTTCTAGCTCAAGAACATCTGTGAATATTCACTCCTAACAAAATCAGAGTATCACTGTAAATGGTATTTAGAAGAATGCCTTACCTTAAGGTCCCAGTAATGACAATCATACCTAGTATTTGTTGTGCTTTTGAATTATCTAAATCAGATCTTCAAACAAGTCATGCACATTTTGTGAGTATTCTGAAATTATTTTCCTTTGGAAGTGTTTCTTAACAATAACATTGCATTACAAAACAGAGTTTTTTTGTTTATTTTTTTTAAGTGAATAACATGTTAAGCTACTAACAGTTTTACTGAAAGTTGGATTGTGTTAGTAGATTCTATAAAAAATGTCTTTTAAGAACAATGAAGAGTAACTCAGGAGTATGAAATGTGTTTCACTAATGAGTTGTCTTTGATACTGAAAGTTTGTCTTGTTAAGAATTGGGACATCTGCATGATTGGAAAATTATCAGAAAGACTGGGTGCTTATTTCTATGTCTGTTTTATAGTCATATGCTAATGTGCCACTTGGTTCATATCACAGGAAACAAAAACAAATTGGAATTAAATGTCATGCTGTATTTTGCTGCCTACATGTATTAATAATATATTGCTCCTGTTAATCTTTACTTACTATGAAAATGTGTTTTTTAAGAAGTTTAGTTCGTTGGGTTTCTTTTTTTTTTTTTTTAATATATGAAATTCCTAATACAGATATTAATGTAAATGACACCAATTTCTAACTTTTTTGCAGACTTGTCCTCAGTTCTGTCTCTGACTACTTTGCTGCCATGTTTACAAGCGATGTTTGTGAAGCCAAGCAAGAAGAGATCAAAATGGAAGGCATAGACCCCAATGCACTATGGGATCTTGTTCAGTTTGCATATACAGGTATTGTACAGCATACATTATGCTTCCTATAGAGAAAAATGTTGATAGTTTTGTTTGCTACATTCCAATGAATTATATTTATTTTCTGAACATTTTTTCTTCATAGTTTCAATCAATTGAAACACTTATTTACCATTTCTAGGGATGAATTCAGATTGTTATCCCTTATCTCCAAACTGTTAAATATGTCAGGCTTGGTAAGTACAAGAGGACAGTCCAAAAATTATATATTTTTCTTGGTTTTCAAATACTTAAAAAGAGTGCCTCTTATGCACATGAGATCATGGAAGGAACAGCAGTATTTTTTGAATCATAGCCCTATATTACTGTCCTAGTCAAATTTCATTTTAAATACTTACATAGATCTTTAAAAATGTTTGTCACTTTCATTTCCTGTTATAGGCTGGCACTTTGTTGTATAATGTAAATTTATGAATAACTCATAACTCAGAGTTAATAACTCAGAACTTCCTTCTGAATAGTTATTACATTTTAAAGCATAATAGATTTGGGGTTTATCCTTCTTAAATAAACTGTTATGAACAATGTATCTGAAGTGCATTAATATGAAAGAATACTAAAGTTACAAAATAAAGTAATTAAAAGAGCTGAAATGCCAATATGAAGATTTCTGGTCTGAATTTGTCTACCCTTGCCTGTAAATCATATAAGTATAAAATGTATGCTCTTTTCTATTTCTGTTTCCTAAAATACATCCTCATATTGTTTAAATTAACAATATTATATCGTTATATTTCTATTAAATATTTTATTTTAGCTTCAATTTTAAATGGATTTCCCATAGTGTGCAGTTTTAATCTTCTCTAAATACACGTCTTAATTAAATCATAAGTTGCTGTTTGCTTTGATATATTTAATTAGGATATGTGCTGTTTATTTTATGACATAATAACTTTACTTTCTTAATAAGAAACAGAAACTGCATATAAACATGATTTATGTTAAAAATGCTTTTTTTGAGAATCATATATGAGAAATTCACATTCTAGGAATATCAGATCATCTTTATCTATATAGTACTCTACACGTTCAAAGGATAGGGCCTACTGCCTTCAGTTGTGGTTTTGCCATTCAGTAATGAACATCATCCACCCAGTTTCAAGCTAGGGATCCATGAAATGAAGAAGATGTCAGTAGTTCTTATCAAGGATGAGAAGGACACAATCTGATTACTAGGTATGAGTGTAAAATGAATGGCAAAATGAATGAGTGTAAAATATCAGGTTAAAATCAGGAATACCTTGATGTAGAATAGCAGAAGACGTTACTGGTAATGTTAAATAGTTCTGTAAGAAGAAGGTGAGAGAAAGAGGAGGTAAGAAGAAGATAAGGGACAGTGTTATTCCACTGGAAACAAAACTGTGGAAATACATTGTATTGTATGGTTCTTTTGCCTCAGTTTTCACCTAAAGAACATATGTAAACACACAGCATAGTTAATACTGATAACAAAAGATAGCATGTAAATGTAGATTAAGAAAAGAAAGAGGTAGCAAAAGTAAGCAAAAAAATATTTAACTATTTTCAAGATGGATACAACTATCTCTGAACATTATTGATTATCTCTGAGAACTTTGGAGACTGGATGAAGAAATTAAAAACTAGAAAAAGCAAACTCCTTCCATTTTCTGCAAAGATTAATATTTTCAGCTGCTTTACTCTCCTTGTTTTGTCTATGCTGTGTGATGCACTTGGTTTATTATATGAGGTGGAAAACTTGGAGGGTTCTTCTTGTGGTTAGGTAACTAAGAACCAGCCTTCACAAATGGATGAAAAGAGAGCTCCAGAAGTAGTATAATCCCAGTGTTTTCTAACTTGCTTCGTGGGAATTTACATCTGTAATATTCTTTCATTTAAACTGTCACATAATGCCCAAACTGCCTTAAAATTGCATTATTATGTGCATCATAATGTCACCTCGAAGAATTAGAAACTTAAGGCGGTAACAAAGGTCTCTGATTGCTTTCACTTGTACTGGTAATACACTGTTATCCTTCTAGATCTAACTAAAATTCAGGAAACATGACTTTATTTTGCATGCTAAAAGAGAACACATATCGGATGCCATGGACCATTCTGGTTTTCATTACTCTGTCTTGTATTTCTGTTCCATCAGGTTCTTTGTCCTGACTTGTTCTGATTGCAGTGGGTTCACCCTGGGCCAGACACCAAATGTCTACCTGGTGTCACCACCCTGTCAGGGCACTATATCACTCCCCCTCCTCAGCTAGACAGGGGAGAGAAAATATAATGAAAAGCTTGTGGCTCAAGATAAGGACAGAGAGAGATCACTCAGCAATTTCCATCACAGGCAACACAAACTAAACTTGGGGAAATTGGTTTAATTTATTACAAATCAAATCAGAGTAGGATAATGAGAAATAAACCCAAACCTTAAAAACACCTTCCCCCCACACCTTTTTCCCAGGCTTAACTTCATTCTTGAATACTCCGCCTCCTCCCCTGCCAGTAGCACAGGGGAACAGGGAATGGGGGTCATGGTCACCTAACACACCTCCTTCCTCCACAGGGGGAGGACTCCTCACACTCTTACCCTGCTCCAGCATGGTGTCCTTCCCACGGGAGACAGTTCTCCATGGACTTCTCCAATGTGAGTCCTTCCCACGGGCTACAGTTCTTCACAAATTGCTCCAGCATGGGTCCCTTCCATGATGAGCAGTCCTTCAGGACCAGACAGTTCACTTTTTCCTTTGTGCTGTGTAGATGTGGGCACTGTAAAGTAAATAGCCACTGAAGTTTTCAGCCACCGTGCTGTGTAGATGTGGGCAACGGGAGCACTGAAAAGTAAATAGCCACTGAAGTTTTCAGCCACTCACGTCTGTGGCCAGTTTAGCTTTTTATTCTTTTAACCCAGGAAGAACAAACCATTTTGGCAAATGGGCGGTTATTCACTCTTCTATTTTCTTTTTCCTGTCACTACCGTCTTAGTTCAAGGAGATTTAAAAAAAATAATAAATAAATTCACATATAGTTGCTGCTGTTAGAGAGAAGTTTTTCCCTAGGAAAATATAGCCGAACATGGGCTTGTTTGCAAAAACTTAAAAATTAAGAGTATTACACTGCAAATATTTTTAGATGTGATTTAAAAGAGGGACATGTTTCCACATTATATTAACTGTCATTCAGTCAGGTTTGTTTTTTCTATAATCTACTTTAATTATTTCATTTTTTACTATGAATCATACATATAAAATAGTAGTTCAAGGGTAAAATAAGCACATCTATGAAACGTTTTACTATAGATAAAAGTGTACCAGCAATAAAATCAAATACTGTTGCAAAATATCAGAATAAAAGTATAGCAAGGGGCAGATTTTGTACATCAGAGACCTGAAGAAAGATAGGTATATTTATCTGAAAGGAGAGTCGTTAATATCTGCTATATCCATCAGTGCAAAAAAAGGTAATAATATTAGTGTGTAAAATTAGTTACATATTGCTTTGTATACGTTCAGTTTTTTGTTTTAACTCCTGTTAATTTAGATAGCCATACGTGTCTGAAAGGAGAGGATTTTCTGGACAGAATTTCTGAAGTCTCTGTTTTGTGCCATTTTTACTAAATCATTGAAATAGGTGATAACTCCAGTTTGCTCAAAATAACAAAATTATATTTTCTACTTTTAAAAATTATTATTAAGTATTCTTTATTTTTTATCTTTCTAAGTACATTCTGTAACTGTGTGTGGATGAGCGTCTGTATTGCGCGAGACTATAAATGTATTAACTCAGAGATTTGCCAGTAAAAGAAGCTTATAGCAGATATTTGGTAGCATGATATGAATAGTCATAATTTGGCTGACATATCATTATAGCTTCCAGCTTTATGGAACATAATTTCGTCTACTTCGGTAGTCATTGATCAAATGGGAATTTGTCTAATCCTTCTGAAAGCATGTGAAGTTTCATCCTCTATAACCTACTGTGGTACTGAGTTAAACTCTATAAATTACATTATTTCTTTTGGTATTTCCAAATTTGCTGTCTTTGTTTGTTTTCTCATAGTTCCTACTTTTGTAACAAATAATTTGTGCAATTCATTTGTGCAAATCATTGCTTTATCTTTGTATGTACACAATAAACCCCTGTTTAGCAGGTTACTTACTAATATCATTAACATCTTAAAAAACATGAAAGTATGCAACACAGGGAGTAATGTTCATCCAGTCTAAAACCAACATTTATTATCACCGTTCTCAACCTACTGTTAGCCTTCCTTTAGCATAACTGATCATGGTTTGGGCCAGCATGGAAAGGTTGGTCACTACTTGACAACCTCTTTGTTATCTTTTTTATTCTAAGTCTTCTGTGAGAAAAGCAAGCAAAAACCAAAACCAAACTAAACCATCAGCACGATAGTTGAAATATTATAATTTCAATTCTGCAACTCAATGGATTTTGAAACATCCTAAATATTACTAGGGATGTAAAAACTTCATGTTAAATCATATTGGACATATTTGTATTCCAGTTGTAAAGGAAGAGAAATATATGGGTAAAAATATATTTTTGGTGTAAATATGGTTTTGCAGCTTTTCTAAAGGTGGTGGGTTTTGCTTTTGTAATCTCTTTTAAATAAGTCATTTCTGACTACAAATGTACTTTTCCCAGGAGCTTTAGAATATGGGATGTGAAAGCTGCTTCCCTTTTTCAGTAATGAAAAAAACTTCAAGAAGTCTTGAAAACTAGTTTGTGTTTATTTATTGTCTTTTAAAATAAATTTAAAAAGTAGTTCTACTAAAAATGTAAATGAAAGTTAATAGATCTTATTTCAAAATTAGGCTATTTACCTATGTCTATTTAAAAACTTATATTGGAATTCAATGATATTTCTGATAAAGCAGAATTCTGATCCAGTAGAGAATCAGAATTCTTTTAACCCATGAGCTAAACATAATTTTGCTACCATCATATTTGTTTCCCTAAACTTTGCTATCAATCTTTGTTGTTTATTTTTAAAA